GGGGCGGTGCAGTCGGGGCGGAGCCGCGAGCTGCGTGGAGTACGCGCCTGCGTGAGATGCTAGGGGGCGGAGTCTAGGCGTCGCGAGGGGGCGGGGCCGAGCCATAACAACGGGGCTGAGGCTCTTTTTAGGATTATTTGTAGCTCTCACCCAAAATCCCCCAGAAAGGTAGCGATCATTAATACACTCGCACACTCTCACTTCCGGATTAGTTCCTGTCCTTTCCTGCAGTGGTTTTTGGATTACGCCAAGCACATAATTACGCTTTTTAAAAATCTACACAAATAAAATTGTAAACATGTTATTTGTGTTGGAAGCTGTCAAACATGACTGTCTTTCTAATAATATGTACTAAAAGGAAATTATAACACCTAAGAATTGTATACCGTAGGTAAGATCAACTTCCTGACCACTCTGAATTAAAACCAGATGAAGCTAATAGAAGCTCTGGTGGTATAGCGGTTCTATATTGGGCTTCAACACCCATTAAGAGTTACAGTCTCAGAAACTCAAAGGGGCAGTTCTACTCTGTCTTATATGGTCAGCATCAAGTCCATGCCAGTGAGTTTGATTTTTTAATCAAAGCTAACAAGTTAATAGAATCAAGGCCTCATCTACCCTGATCCCCAGCTACCCTGATCCCTAGCTACCACTACTGACCATTCTTATCAGAGCCCCAATAGATGCATTTCCATACAATGAGAGAAAAATGTGGAAAAGAATCTCAAATTCCTTCAGAAAAAAATAAGACTTAAACTCACCTCTATACAATAGATTGTATCACAAATAATGAATGTCACACATAATTACTATGTGCCTTTAAGACTTACCTATGTGAGATGAAATGATAAAAATTACTTTAAAACAAAGATGAGAAGTCAGAGGGCAAGGAAACTGAGCAATCAGAACAGAAATCATGTGAATACTCACATGTTGTGAAAAATGGAACCTGTGTCACTGAGCAGTTTGTGTAGAAATTATTGAATGAGAACTGAATAAATAAGTTCTCTTATAAGGATCAGCACACAAAGGTGGTCAAGGTTAAAGATGTCCCAAACTCCAATCTGCTCCGCCACTTCACCAACTCTGACATCAGCTACTCCTCTTCCCCTCAGTACTCTCCATCCCGTCTGGGGTCCCATAATCGTCTCACAAAACACTAAGAAATTGACTCACATGTTTGTGGAGGCTTGAAAGCCCCAAATTCGAGAATCAAACTCAACATCTGCCTAACGGTGATTCTGAAAGAGGTAAATGTCAGGCATGCCTCCACCTTCCAACTTTCTTTACTAATTCTAACACGAACCATCTCTCCTACAAAAAAACACCTCACTGCCATCAAGTTGTTGCTGATTCAGTGACCTCCCTAGGGATTTCAAGACTGTGTGGAAAGCCCAGCCTTTGTCCCAAGGTGGTTTTGAACTGCAGCACTCTTCAATTCTATACCGGATTTGATGATTCATTGCAAGAGCCACACAGACTTCACAGACCAAACTAACGATGATGGGATTTATTACTGAAGTTATGAGGTTAAAATTCAGGATCAGAAATTCTTGATGCAATTCTTCCAGTCAAGAACACCTCTTCTCAGCCATGCCTGCAGGCACTCCTTTCTCTTGTCCTCGATGTCTTAGCTATCCTAGCTGTTGGCCTCTGCACTGATCAAGTACAAAGCTCCTTTAGCAGTGTCCATAAATGCTCAAGAGGCACTCCCCTCCACCAGAAGCCTCAGCCTCACCTTTATGTCTGTGGGTCAAGAAAACTAGTTCCCTTAGGTAAGTGCCTAGAGCAGCAGTTCTCAACCTGTGGGTTGCGACCCCTTTAGGGGTCGAGCGACCCTTTCATTGGGGTTGCCTAAGACCATCGGAAAACATATTTCCAATGGTCTTAGGAACCAAGACACCTCTCCACTATCCATCTACAGGAGGGTCCGCCCACATGCAGATACACCCACATACGAGGGCGTGAATACTCATAACCCATGCTACACCATGCTTCAAGACAAAATTTCACTTATTTGTACTTAGAAATAAATATTTCACAATATATAATTACATATTGGTTTGTGATTAATCACTATGCTCTAATTATGCACAATTTATAACAAAGAAAATATATCCTGCATATAAAATATTTACATTATGATTCATAACAGTCGCAAAATGACAGTTATGAAGTAGCAACGAAAATAATGTTATGGTCGGGGTCACCACCACATGAGGAGCTGTATGAAAGGGTCGCAGCCTGAGGAAGGTTGAGAACCACTGGCCTAGAGGGACGCAACTTCACCAGTGAATCTCCTGCCCTGGAGCATTTTCAGCTTCCTCTAAGGGCCCAGAAGCCCACTGCTCTGTCTCATCTCTGCTCTGACTTCTGCTGCCACCGCTTCTCAGTTCTGTCTTTGCCGCTTTTCTGGTGTCAGAGTCTGAGGTGGGCTTTCATCGTAATCCCAGTAGATGGTACTCAGTTCCATTCAGAATTAGGTGTAGACATTCAACCATTTCAAAAGGTAGCCTGGGACCATCGATTGGTATTGGAAGATGAAATCCAAGCTGCACCGACAGAATTCGTGAAAAACAAGACTCCAAGAATTGATGGAATACCAATGAAAATGGAAAAGCAGATACAGTACCGAAGCACTCACTAGTCTATGCCAGTAAATTTGAAAGAAAGCTACCTGGGCAACCAAGTGGAAGAGATTCATTTTGTGCCCATTCCAAAGCACAGTGAACCAACAGAAAGTGAAAATCATCCACAATGTCATTAACGTCACACACAAGCAAAATTTTGCTGAAGATAATTAGAAAGAAAACAAATCCCTCTTACAGAGCTGCCACGAAAGTCAAGTCAGACTCAGAAGAGAATATGGAACAAAAGATCATACATATTACAGACAGCAGATGTATCTAAAATGATAGAATACCAGAACAATGTTTACTGGTGTTTTATTGACTATGCATAGGCTTTTGGATGGTGTGGATCATAACACACTGTGGGGTAGCATTAAGAAGAATGGAAATTACATAGCAGTGCATTTTACTCATGCGAAGCCTGTACATAATCAAGAGGCAGTCGTTCAGAAAAAAACAAGGAGATGTTGCAAGGTTTAAAATCAGGAAAGATGTGTGGCATGGTTATATCCTTTCATCACACTTATTCAATTTTCATTCTGAGAATATAATCCCAGAAAATGGATTATATGAAGAATGTAGCATCAGGATTGGAGGAGGGGTCATTAACTACCAGTGACATGCAGAAGGCACAATCTTGCTTGCTAAAAGCAGAGAAACTTCGAACCACTTAATGATGAAGACCAAAAGGCTACAGCCTTCAGTGTAGCTTGTACTTCAAAATAATGAAAACAAAAATCTTCCCCACTGGACCAATAAGCAACTTATGGCAAATGAGGGGGGGGATAAATTTTTTGTCAAGATTTCATTTTTCTTGGATCCACAATCAATACCCATGGAGACAGCAGTTAAGAAATCAAACATTACATTGGAAAAGTCTGCTACAACAGACCTCTTAATGATGCTAAAGAGCAAGCATGGCACTTTCAGGTGTACCTGCCCCAAGCCATGTTATTTTCAATCACCCTAAATGCATGGAAAAGGGGACACTGCAGAAGTAAGGCTAAAGGAGAGCCGATTCCTCCGAGTTATGGTGCTGATGAAAATTACTGAGCATGTCATGGA